TACGGTTACGTACGTACGGTTCGTTGTAGTAGTATACTACTACTACTTCGTTACGTTTATTAGTAGTAGTAGTGTGTATATATATATATATATATATATATATATATATATATATCACTATTCACATTCCCTAGCCACAATCTATATGTTACTATAATTTTGTTTTTATCCGGGTTTCCTCAACATCCTAATGCCAAGGACAGGTTGTGGAACCTGTTGAGGTTGGGTAGGTACATAGCCAGGGCTAGTTGGGCACATCATTTTTTTCCACTTGTGTCAGGTTCATTTCCTTCTTAAGGGGTGAAGAGCATACCTGTTCCAGAAGTAGTGCTGTGCCCCACATGTATGCTTCAGTTTCTATAGGCAGTCACTTTCTGCTTGGTTTTACTGTACGGCACCTACACCAGCCCCTCCAGTTTTTCAGTGTGGGATTCTAGCTTTGTGTGAGAGGAACTAAGACAGCATCAGAAGTTAACATTTTCTTACACTGAAAGGTACTTACTTTCTCTCACACACTTTTCACCCTTCCTTCCCACTGCCAGTGTTATTAATTTTATACCCTGCCAATTCTCGAGAGTGAGAATTGAACAAAAACATTAGAAGGGAACTAGTTGCACCAATATAAGTGGCACAATACTGTTGGTGGAGGGTGGTAACATGCTATACACATGTTACAAAATGGTGCAGAACTTGTGGGGTATATAGAGTGGTGCAATGCTTAGGGGCAGAAAGAAAATCGAAATAGCTTTTTCGGAAATGCATTTTCAGTGCAAGAAAATGTTAACTTTTGTCTTCTTCCCATTTAACAATAGCCCAAAAGGTTCACTTGGTCTACCCATACCCAACAATACCTGAAGATATTAAACACAATTCTCGCTCATAGGATTTGTTACTTTATATTATTATTTTTGGCACATTCAGAAAGTTTACATTTATGAAGTCATTTATCATGGGATAATTAGAATCTGATGTTAATCCATATCTGGACTTATTTTGAATTATGTAGCATGTAATGATTAAAGAGTTGCATACCTTGAATATTTTGTATTACTGAATGGTTTAATCTGATAATATGTTGAATTTACTGAATTTTAAATCACCAACCATTAAGCCTACAATCTGCTGATTATTTTCTATGTTTCCCAATATTCCTGTGGTTATACTTATAGCAGTAAATAATTCCTAGACAATGTACTTTAATCATATTAAGATTTTTTTATTATTATGCTATTAATAATAATAAACAAATAAATTTTATGAAAGAAACACCATATGACCTGTAGTGATACATTAAGTTATTAAATATTGTATGTGTATAATACTCATATGCATAACACTGTTTTGTCTCCCAGAATTGATATTACTAGTGAAGGCCGTAAACGTCGTCTTATCATAAAAGGAGTTAAAATATTAGATGAGGGAGAATATACTTGTAAAACTAATGCTGACACAACCACTGGAGAACTTATTGTTGAGCGTAAGTAGTACACAGATACACTAGCCTTAAATCCTTTAGGGTTAACACTTAGTTAACAGTCACAAGTCTAGATGGTAGCAGATGTTTTTTAAAGCTACACTAGAAAAAGAAATTATTAATTTTGTTTTCAAATGTGTATACTGCCATTACAGTAATTCTAGATTTAAATTTGAATTCTAATTTTTTGGAGTGTCTGAGATGGAAGTTTAACTTAAAATCACAAGTTTTGAACAGAGTATTTTCAGTGACCATAATTAATGAAATGGAACCACATTTGTATCTCGCTTAACGGTAGTTAGTAGATAGGGCTGATTTGTTCCTAATAAAAAATAGATCCGAACCCTTAAATGCAGGTTTATTATGGGATAATTAGAATTTGATTAATCTATATCTAGACTTATTTTCAAAGTATTTGCTAAAACTAAAACTAGACCTAATTTTTTTACGAGGTACAGATCATATTGGATTTACTTTGAAGCTTTTCCTTTTTTGTGTGTGAAAACAACTGAATATTTAATGTGCATGAGTTAAAAATTTGAAAATGAAGTATCTTTCGAAGTAGAATATTGGTAATGTTATTTTTGATCTGTGATTTTTAAAGCTTAAACTTGTATTATATATATATATACATGCATAACTTATCAATTCTGAATATTAGTATGAATATTAACCTGACCTCATGTTATTTCAGCTGCAAATAAAATTGTCAAAAAACTGAAAGACCAGTCAGTATTGGAGAAGGAACAAGTGATCTTAGAAGTTGAACTGCTTGATAGTAAAGCTCCAATACAGTGGTTTAAAGATGGAGAACCTATTAAATCTTCAGACAGGTATGGAAACAAGATATTTGTGTATAAGAAAGAGTATTTTATACATTCATAAGTTGTGTATACATTTCTTTTTATGGAAGAACTACAAGATTTTTTTGCTTTAGTTACTCGTCTCTAATTAGTATGTATATTTTTATATATATATGGTTATATTTCCCAAAACTAAGAGTAATTTTCGACAAAACTGTAAAATAATAAGTAAAGCTAGAAAACCTCTAGGTTATGCAAATTTACTTTCATTCAGAAGCGTTTTAGAATAATAATATGATGGAAATTACTGTTAAAATACTGTTTGCTCTCATAATTTGGTTGAAATACATAAGACACTTTTCTTATATTTTTTTCAAAGTAACATTTTAAGAGTGCATTGCAAGTATCACTTTTCCTATATATATTTAAACAGTATCATAATTGAAATTATATTCAGCTTTAATACATTTTTATTTTGAAATTTACAAATTCAGGGGTCAAGCCATACTCCCAAAATAGGGAAAAGGCACTTCTCCTTCCACGTTCCAACAGGGAAAAGTTTTGAAAATAGGGAGACTTCACATTTCTGTATCAGATGCATTCATAACATTATAACATAATTCATAGGGGTTGATTATGTATGTATGTTTGTTGAATGTTTGTTTGTTTTCCAAACGTTTGATGATGCTCTTTGTCCCCTTCAGCACAGTGGGTAACCGAATGGACTGAAAAATTAAAGCAACTCAAATTTCACTGTGGGAGTGGGGGGTGGGGGAGAATAAAAGTGAAATTGGAACTTTGAAGGTGAAGTTTAAAGACACTTTGCCAAGTTGCATAACTCCTGTAGGTCTAAAAAAATGAAATGAAATTAACAATAATGATATGACCTAATGTTTCGTTATGTAAGTCAGTGTGATTGATATGTCAAGTTATATAACTTAAGCACAAATTCTGTCAAATTATATTGTAGATAGTATCACTGTACTTGTTTTATTGCAGAAATGATCCCTACTTTCCATTAAAATTTTAGTTTTTTTTTCCTAGAGTAACCTTTTCAAAGAATGTAAAAAGATTTTTAACACAAGATTTTCTTTTAGTGAAACCTTGTTGACTATTCAATAAAATTCTAAACTTTGTTAACTCACTTTGCAAATCATCATTTATTAGACTTTCCAAAACTTTTCCCACAACTGATGTAAGACTAATATGTTTATAATTACTGGGATAATTTTTATCACCTACCTCATAAAGGGGAGTTACATGGAGATGCAAATAAGTGCAGACTCAACACTCTGTTAACCAAATTGCTACTTTGAACAGGTATTGCATTTCAATGTGAGCTTTGCATTGACTTTCTTATACATGTGGAATGACATAATTAATAAAGAAAATATATTTCAAAAGGGTCTGAATACCTCCTATAAACTTATTCCTTGGTTTTCTTGTTGCATCTCTAATTGCTATTTGCTTCCCTTCATTGTGACTGTTTGTATACAAACTCTCTGATTTGCAGTTGTAACTAATTGTTATTTCCATACTCATCTCCTGTGTAGATGTACATAATCCAATCATAAATGCACTGAGTGGTCACCTGTGCTTACATAGATTCATCTTGCCTTTTAACAGTACTTAAACTAACCGACAAACACATTTCCAAGTTTATAATATGTTATAATTATCAGTGGCTTTATCCATACCTATATATTTATATAATTACTTCTTATAATGCTTTACATAGCTTCAAAATGTTGACTCAGATAACTAATGGGAAATTTTTTGGCTTAGCTTAGTTATCACTTTTTGTCATCACTTTCACAGCTCTCTATTCAGCAATAATATAAATATCCTTTCTCTGAGGGTGCTTGTAGGAATCCATCACTGTGGATTCTTGGTTCTTCCCAGATGACAGTAGAGAGAGACACTCACTTTTCAGTTTGCTTTTTATTGTTGTTTTTGATTTCAAAGTGATATATATATATATATGTACATTTATAACTTCACTGGTTATTAAGTATTGAGTAGTTCAGGTATTCAGGAAAGTTAAAGTGGAAAATATACGTGTATGGATGCAATTGTTGATTAGATATACATTGTTTATGTTTTGTTGCCAAGGGTACTTATCAAGGCACTAGAAGCTGGAAGACATCAGTTAATTATTAATAAGTGTCAGATGGATGATGCTGGAGAATACAAATGTGAAAGCAAGGAGCTTAAGTCCAATTGTAAATTAACCGTTTCTGAAGGTAAGTCTGTAAAAACAACGAACTTAAGTTCATCTGTAAACTAACTGTTTCTGAAGGAGCTTAAGTCCAATTGTAAATTAACCGTTTCTGAAGGTAAGTCTGTAAAAACAACGAACTTAAGTTCTACTGTAAACTAACTGTTTCTGAAGGAGCTTAAGTCCAATTGTAAATTAACCGTTTCTGAAGGTAAGTCTGTAAAAACAACGAACTTAAGTCTACTGTAAACTAACTGTTTCTGAAGGAGCTTAAGTCCAATTGTAAATTAACCGTTTCTGAAGGTAAGTCTATAAAACACGAACTTAAGTTCTACT